AGCCAAACTCCTCACAAAAACAAAAGGAAAGAAACAAACATAAGCCCTCCTAATCCAGTTGCTATATTAGAATTTCTCTTACCTCTCTTTTAATGACACATGACCTTTACATTAGTAATTTAGGGCTTTAATAAACGTAAAAACTGATTCACTAAATAAGAGTGCCAAGTGGCTCTCTTACTAACTCTTGAGTTCAGTTACTTCATGTTGATATCTTGAAATCAGCCACAGTGACAGCACTTTATACCAGATAAGTCAAAAAACACTAAAGAGCAGAACACTCACCCGAGGTCTCAGCTGGCTTGGCTGATGAGACCACCACAGTTTGCAGAGCTTCATGCATGGGCATGAAGAATGGGCAAAGTGTGAGAATCATGCACTTGGTGGCCTTGGTCTTCACACAGGTGTCCTTGATTGGCCCCCATGGGCAGTATGGTCTAGAGTCTAGACAGAGCAGCATAGCAGCTTGCAAAGAAAAAAGAAACTAAATTGCTCACTTAGGGCAAGTCCAAAGTGACCCAAAGTGTAACTCAAAGAGTATACTCCTCCCATCTTAATTCAAAAGAGAAAGAAGACAAAAATGAAGAACAAAGAGAAGGAAGAAGTGGAGAAGTTGGTAGAAAATAAAAGAAGAAAACAGCAAAAAGAAAACAAAGAAGAAGAAGAATATAAAAGGAGCTTGTCAAAATCCTGCTCTTTCTACAGTGACCAAAACGTAAGGTCATTTTTCATCCTCATTTCAGAGGCACTTTTACCATGGGTTTTATTTCTCCTTTTTTTTCCTTTTTTACACTAGTACTAGAGTACTTTGCATGGGCTATTCTGGACCGTGCTTTGTCCCTCAAAGTCCAAGACTGTGCACTCCTGCAAGGGCTCTAAACTCAATTAATGAGTCACAATAAAACATTCTACTTCCAACACTCAAGGAGCTCAAATAAAGGTTTCTCAGATGTGAAAGAACTAGACACAGACAAGATTGGTTAAAAAAAAGACTAAACTTAAGTAATTGCTTTTTGATAGAACCTAGAATTTGGATCAGTCACTAAGAAATTGCTTTTGAGGATATTGATTTCTTTATTAAACTGCTAATTTGAGCCTAATTTCTCAAAGATCTTTCCAAATAATTTGTCACAGTTTAGTACTAGTCATGTAATTATCTTCTTTTAAATACTCTATTGAAACTTTCTGAATATCAGAATATCATCAAACAAGTTATCAAACTTTCTCTTAGGCAGTTCAGATTATTTGATTTCATAAATTGCATCATTGATGCAGTTTATCATTGATACTCTGTAGTCTCGAGACATGGGATGATTTTTATTAGTTTATGAAGACTTTGTTGGCATATTGTAATATGCCCATGAATCATAACAAAAAGGTGAATCTGAGACCCAGGCACTGTACTTTGAAGTTCACATCATATAGCAGGTGCAATTTGCCTTGGCATTATGTTCAGATAAGCAAGTAATTCTCAGGTACCCTTGGTGAGACTACAGAAATCTTTTCTAATGAAATATAAAATCAAAAACATGAAATGCAAGTTTCTAGTCAGGCAGGAATATTGGTCTGTTTTCTAATATATTCCTAATGTTTAGGATATTGCTTCAGAAAGTAGGTACTAAATAAATATTTGTTGACTAAATAAATGAATAGAAATGTCAGATTGGTAATATTTACTGTTTTTCTGAGGGCTTCATTAGAATTTGACTGAATTCATCATGGTTGTAATTTTTCTTTTTATTTTCCATGGTAACTATACATTTCTGCCACAGAGAAGTGAAAAAACACTATAGTCACAATTCATGGTTTAAAATTCTACAAATTAAAATCTTTTCTTTATAGAACTCCTTCTCATCTAAATTAAGATCATCATGTCAGAAAATCCCTTGACTTATTCAATTAAAATTACATAAAGAAGTCAACTTACATTTATAATCTTGCATTAGATTTTTTTTTATTTATGTTATTTCTACCACCTTTTTGTCCACAAAAGCACAGCCAGTCAAAATCCTAAATAAAAACATGCTGGTTTTCAGTTTCAAATGGCCCATGTTCTTTTGCTGAATAAATACCTCAACTCCTTTGAGACTTTCCACAATCACCAGCAGCTGGAATAGACCCAGACCCAAAGAAGCACCCATTCCTTAAGGTAGCTTCTAAAAGCAGAAGAATTGCTTTTTCTATTCAGAAGTCTACTAGGAAATATTTTGTAATTGAAAATAGTTAAAGAATACTTTAGGAACAAATGAATTTGAGAGGAGAATCAATTCAATTACCATTGTCAACCACAGTCTTAATTGTGCAGTTAATTAATATGCTGCTTAGGTTAGCATACTTTCTATCACATTACCTGTAGAAGTGATTTCTGTTAATCTCAATCTGCCTTTAAATCCCTATAAATACAAGAATATGAAAAATGAGGTTTAATATTAATTTTCAGAGGGATAAAAATCCATGAAATCAGATCTATTTTGAAAATTAAATTCTAAACTTCTAATCAAAAAAAAGAAAAAAACCAAGATCTTTCCTCACTCAAAAATAAGGAAAAGTGATTTATAGAACACCTGAGTTTCCAACCCTATGGTAGAAAAACTTAGAATTTTAGGTAATAAATTTTCTTAAATTACCTTGTATGAATTATTTAGGCCAATATTTCCATAATTTGGCTGTGTATTAAATTCCCTAGGAATCTTTAAGAAAACAGTTCTCAGGAATTCTGCCTAGGTCAATGGAATCAGCACTTTTCTGAGTAGAGCCCAGAAATCTGGCTCTTTAAAAAAATATTTTCTGCAGGTGACTCTATGTGCAACCAAAGGTGAGAATAAAATATTATACTCAAATACCATCACTCTGTTCCCACTTTCATTCTCTCATACACTCCAAGAAGCAGTTCTACATAAAAATTAATCTGAGTGTCGAGCACAGTTGAAGGCTGAGGCAGGAAGATAATGAGTTCTAGGCCAGCTTGAGGAGCACAGGGAAATCTTGTCTCATAAAAACAAAAACAATAACAAAAAAGATAGATAGGTACAAAAAATTAAGGTGATTAATAAATTTGGAGAGCTGAGGTTGGTCTAATTTAACCTACAATTCACAAAAAATGCATAAAATTCATTCTGGATGGCTTCGTGGGCACCAAGGCACAATCTTTCATCATTAGAAACGTGTAACTTCTAATCAGGCATGTATTACAGAGAAAACCGATACTAAAATTTTAAATATGGACTGAAATAACAAGACTTGGTACTCTCAGTTGTCAGCTTTGCTTCGCGATCTTTTGCTTCTCCAACATGAGCAACTCTTTTTAGTGTTCCCCACTGCAAAACGATCTAGGAATTTCACAGTCATCAGTAAGTCCCATAAGACACAATGAAATTCTAGCTGTAAACACAGAACACAAAATATCATTTTGGTAACCTGTGTTCTCAGAAGTTAGTTTGAGACAAGAGTTTAAGTGTAGGTATGTGGAGAGTAATCTCCAGGAACAGACATAAAAAATTCTCTGTAAATACATGCAGACTGAATCCAACAGTGTATCAAAAGGACCAAAGAGAATAATCAAGTTGATTTCATTCCAGGGATGCAAGGAGAGCTCACCATATATAAATCAATAAAGGTAATATAGATTATAAAGGATAAATTAAATTTCAATAGATGCAAAAAAAAACCCCTTTTTGACAAAATTCAACATCCCTTCATGATAAAAGCCTTACTAAAAACTATATATCATACTTCAACATAATAAAGACCTCATTGAATGTCTATCTTGGTCACTTTTTCTACACTACAGTTTCATAAGTTTTTGTTCTTATTGTGTTCAAGAGATCTTGATTGTTATGGGTATGATAATTTTTTATTACTATCTTAATGTAATAATTCTTCAACCTTATCTTCAAAATCCTGGATATTCTTCCTTCTGCCTTGTCTAGTCTATTAGTAATCATGATTTCCATTGAGTTTTAAAATTTTATTTATTAAGCTTTTCATTTCCTAAGTTTCTATTATTTTTTAGAATCACTATCTCTGATAGATTTCTCATCCTAGTCTTGAATTGACTTTTCTTTTTAGCTCATTGACTTTTTTACCTCATTCACATATTTATTTGAATCATATTCAAGGTCACTGATCATTTTTGAAATGAGACATTTGAATTCTTTGTCTAAAATTTCAAACATTTCAATATCATACTTTATTTTTTAAAGTTATGACCGTCTGAAGAGTTATGTTGCCGTGCTGTTTCATATTTTTGTGTTTCTGTGTTGTGATTTATACTTCTATTAGGATGGATATCTATTTCAGTTTTATATGGGCTTCTTTTTTTGGTGATACTGGGGATTGAACCCAGGGCAAACATTAGGCAAAAGCTTTACCACTTTTGCCATGCCCCTACCCCTTTATCTATTTATTTTTTGAAATATGGTGTCACCAAATTTGCCTGGGCAGTTTTCAAACTCAAGATCCTCCTGCTTCCACATCTCAAGTAGCTGGGATTATAGACATCATGGTGGTCTTCTTAATGAAAAACTTTCTCTTGATGGCTTAAGCCCCCAGTACCACTCAGAGAAGTGAAAACAAACCGCTATAACAGCAGCACCACCAAAGGGAAACAGACACAAAAATGCAATAAAAACTAATTAAAGACAATAAAGACTGCTATACCACATAAAATCATCAAAAAGAGGAGGATGGCAAAAATAATGTAGAATAAAACATGAGGTTAAAAATTAATAAAGATAAAAGTAACAATAAAAAAAGAATGGAATAAAGGAAGGGAAGTGGAAAGGGAAAAATAAGGATGCAAGGTTAAATAAAAGAAAATAAAAACAACATAAAAGGGAAAGAATGTGAGGAAGAGAAAAAGAAAAAAGCAAGGGATAAAAAATCTGATTATAAAACAAAGAAAAATTGCATAAATGAAATTAGATTTTAAAAAAGGAATAAAAAATAAAATCATAAAAAGTAAAAATAGAAGTAAAAACAATAGTTTTAAAACGAGTGCGAGATCCGCTGCTGCTGAGGAGAGGAGTGTCAACAGCAGCACCATGGTAGCTCAACAGAAGAACCCTGAAGGCTATGTGGGATTTGCCAATCTCCCAAATCAAGTATACAGAAAGTCAGTGAAAAGAGGGTTTGAATTCACACTTATGGTAGTAGGTGAATCTGAATTGGGAAAGTCAACATTAATCAACTCATTATTCCTCACAGATTTGTATTCTCCAGAGTATCCAGGTCCGTCCCATAGAATAAAAAAGACTGTACAGGTGGAACAATCCAAAGTTTTAATCAAAGAAGGTGGTGTTCAATTGCTGCTCACAATAGTTGATACCCCAGGATTTGGAGATGCAGTGGATAATGGTAATTGCTGGCAGCCTGTTATCGACTACATTGATAGTAAATTTGAGGATTACCTAAACGCAGAATCTCGAGTGAACAGACGTCAGATGCCTGATAGCAGAGTGCAGTGTTGTTTATACTTCATTGCTCCTTCAGGACATGGACTTAAACCATTGGATATTGAGTTTATGAAACGTTTGCATGAGAAAGTGAATATCATCCCACTAATTGCCAAAGCAGACACACTCACACCGGAGGAATGCCAGCAGTTTAAAAAACAGATAATGAAATAAATCCAAGAACATAAAATTAAAATCTATGAATTTCCAGAAACAGACGATGAAGAGGAAAATAAGCTGGTTAAAAAGACGAAGGACCGTTTACCTCTTGCTGTGGTAGGTAGTAATCCCATCATGGAAGTTCATGGCAAGAGGGTCAGAGGGGGTGGGGCTGAAGTTGAAAATGGTGAACATTGTGATTTTACAATTTTAAGGAATATGTTGATCAGAACACATATGCAGGACTTAAAAGATGTTACCAATAATGTACACTATGAGAACTACAGAAGCAGAAAACTGGCAGCTGTGACTTACAATGGGGTTGACCACAACAAGAATAAAGGACAGCTTACTAAGAGCCCTCTGGCACAAATGGAAGAAGAAAGAAGGGAGCATGTAGCCAAGATGAAGAAGATGGAAATGGAGATGGAGCAGGTGTTTGAGATGAAAGTCAAAGAAAAAGTTCAAAAGCTGAAGGACTCTGAAGCTGAGCTCCAGCGGTGCCATGAGCAAATGAAGAAGAATTTGGAAGCACAGCACAAAGAATTAGAGGAAAAACGTCATCAGTTTGAGGAGGAGAAAGCAAACTGGGAAGCTCAACAACGTATTTTAGAACAGCAGAACTCTTCAAGAACCTTGGAAAAGAACAAGAAGAAAGGGAAGATCTTTTAAACTCTTTATTGACCACCAGTTACGTATTAGTTGCCAATATGCCAGCTTGGACATCAGTGTTTGTTGGATCCGTTTGACCAGTTTGCACCAATTTTATCCATAATGATGGATTTAACAGCATGACAAAAATTATTTTTTTGTTATTGTTCTCGATGGAGATTAAGATGCCTTGAATTATCTAGGGTGTTCTGTACTTAGAAAGTAACAGCTCTAAGTACCTTCCTACATTTTTTTTTATTATTAAACAGATGTCTTCAATTTAATGCAAGAGAACATTTTACTGTTGTACAATCATGTTCTGGTGGTTTGTTTACAGGATATTCCAAAATAAAAGGACTCTGGAAGGTTTTCATTGAGGATAAATTGCCATAAGATGACACAAACTATGCTTCTATATGATAATTATAATACAAAGGTTCCATTCAATGCAGCCTATACAATAATGTAATTTAGTCTAACACAGTTGACCCTATTTTTGACACTTCCATTGTTTAAAAATACATATGGAAAAAAAAACCGTATATGCTTACAGTGCACCTAGAGCTTTTTATAACAACCTTTTTTTGTTTGTTTGTTTGTTTGTTTTGGATTCTTTAAATATATATTATTCTCATTTAGTGCCCTCTTTAGCCAGAATCTCATTACTACTTCATTTTTGTAATAACATTTAATTTAGATATTTTCCATATATTGGACCTGCTAAAATAGAATATAGCATCTTTCATATGGTAGGAACCAACAGGGAAACTTTCTTTTAACTCCCTTTTTACACTTTATGGTAAGTAGCAGGGGGAAAATGCATTTATAGATCATTTCTAGGCAAATTGTGAAGCTAACGACCAACCTGTTTCTACCTATATGCAGTCTCTTTATTTTACTAGAAATGGGAATCATGGCCTCTTGAAGAGAAAAAAAGTCACCATCTGCATTTAGCTGTATTCATATATTGCATTTCTGTATTTTTTGTTTGTATTGTAAAAAATTCACATAATAAACAATGTTGTGATGTAAAAAAAAATAGTTTTAAAACAGAACATGAAAGCAAAAAAAAGAAGACACATTTCTATCCGGTCTTCTAGTACTAGAATCCAACAGGCCTGTAAGTGTAATGGGTCATTGTAGATTCTCTGTGTTCCCATTGTATAGTCTGGTGCTGTTTGCAGGTTTAGCACTGGGCTGGTCAACATTAGGCTGTCAGCATCAGGGCTATATTCGCTTTAGAAGTTTATCTTTTTTGTGTACTGAGAGCCACTGCTGACCCTAGTGAGCTTTGTGGCCTGTGGGCTGGGCAAATACCCATTCACTCCAGAGGCCCCCATTTTGTGCACCCAATGCAGTGAACGTTCAATCCAAGGGGTGTCCCACAAATGAATCAGAGGATGGGGGAAGCAAGCAGAGTGCTCAGATCTGCACTGGAGGGGGAGAACCCAAAGAACCTGGCATTGTGTCTGCCATTGTCAGTATTTTCAGACCTCCCCAACCATGAGTACACCACCCTGAAGGAGAGAGGAGGCTGTGGAAATCAAATGACCTGCTAGACTTGGGCTCAGAACTCTCAGTCTAGCCTAGCACTAAACCATACACAACAGAGAGAGAAAGAGAGAGGCAGCTCTGTAGGCAGAGCAATCACTAACTATGTGCTCAGTACTCTCAGTCTCAGTAATTCACAGGTGATAAGGCTTGATCCTTGCCAGAAGAGATGGGGCCACCAACCACCATGCCCCCCACAGACTAAACTCACTGAAGCCTGACTCAGTTAATCCACATCCACCCTCCTCCTTTCCATGACTGCCTCTCACAGCTGTCTTCCACTCACACATTGTCATGGTGTACCCAGGCTCTCTGACCTGTCATTGCTCCCTGTTCTCAGGTTCCTAGTGTAGCACCATCTCAATCCATAGGACCCGTTTCTTGATGGCTTCTGGCTATAGCACTCTGAGGCCTGGGGAGTGGTGCAATGGGTTTCTTCTCCAATGCTAGCCTGCTCAGAGGAGTTACTGCCAGATCACATTCCTGCAGTGGATTTAATTAAGGCTTGCAAGAATACTGGGCTTCTCCTGCAGCTAGGACTGCCAGTTTCTTGTCACCAGGACTGCCTGCCCTCTCCAGGCCTACCTTGCGGTTGTGAATTTAGGTCCCTCTTCCCCTGAGGAGGTGGGGTTGAAGCTGTGGAGGTTTCTACTTTTCTCTGCTTCACCCTTCTGTTTCTTCATGCTTTTTAGCATGTATATCACCACTTTCTTGATTCCTGGTGTTCCTCCTATCTTTCTTGCCTCAGCATACAGTCTCTCCTTTGTTAGTCTGACTCTTCTCATTCACAAAGTCATCTGAAGGAAAGTTCTACACAGAGCTTGAAGAATGGCCATTGACTATTTGATCTGTAATCCTGTCCCCTTAGCTTGGTCATCCCTTTATTTCTAACAAAACATGGGTCCAGAATCTGGAAATATGTTTTTCAGTCCCTTGGTGGAAGATTTGTTGTTACAGTAAATTGTGCCTTTGAGTAAGGTACACTTGAGCTTGTTCTGTTTTTAAATTGATATGTTACTATGAAAACCTCATCAAATTAAGTCTTATCTAAAATAATTCAAAATCAGAAAAAAAAATCATTCCATAACCTTCTCTTTTTCACTGTTCACATAGACACCTATGCCTTAATGCCATTATTTAATCATATTAGCCATAACTCTCTTTCTGTCACAAGTTGCAGACAGTTATACTTACACAGGCTTAAAATAAAAGTAAATGTTTTAGCTCAAGTAATAAAACAACAAAGGAAGTATTTGACTTTATAGCTTTACCGTACATTCAATAATAAGCATACTGACATCTCTGTCTCCATTTCTTGGCCCTATTTACACAGTGTCTGATTCATTTGCAGCAGACTCTCATCCCTAGATGGTTATAAGATTACTGCAACACTATAGCGCCTACATGCTCTTATCTGGTGAAGGAAAAAAAATGAGAGTATTTCTGAGACTTGACAGTGAAATCTTTAGCAAGCCTCATTGAGTTTAAACATTGATACTGTTATGGATTAAACATTGATACTGTTATGGGTTAAATTGTGCTCCCCCAAATGAATATTTCAACGTTCTTGCCCCCAGTACCTGTGAATTTTACCTTATTTAGGAATAGAGTCATTAGACTACAATTTGTTAAGATGAGGTCATATGGGAAGAGGGTGGCTCATTAACCCAATATGATGAGGATCTTTATAAAAGAGGGGCTTTTAAAGATAGGCATACAGGGAAAATGCCAGAAGCTGGTGAGAAGCATAAAACAGATTCTTCTTCACAGTTATCCCAAAGGAACTAGCTCTGCTATGATCCTGGAACCATAAGTGTATAAGACAATTATTTTCTGTTGTTTAAGCTACCTAGTTTGGCACTTTTAAGGGCAATGCCAGGAAACCAAGGCATGGACCCACTTCCATGGCCAGATAAAAGCAACACTGTGGTCAGGCTTGAATCACACAAGGAATGGAATTTTAGCAGTGGGACAGTAGTGAGTTACAGTTGGAAGATGAATGGAAGCTGGGTAAACATCAGATGTCAAGTATATAGTTCCTTTTCTCAATTTTAGGGATGCCAAGGTTCACTTCTCCATTTACCCATGTGATAAATCCTTGTGCTACTTCAGTCCTTCCACCACACCTGCTACTTTCTTTTCTCAACAAAACCAAATGTTTCTCTGGCCCCTGGAAACATTGGAAATGATTGTGGTTTCCTTCCCAGGTTGAAGGTGTGTTTTGAATGAAATCTTCAAGTTTCTTCCTCAACTAAGGTGCTCGATACTGTCCCCAGGAGTCACCAGAGGCCTAAACAGAATACCAGCAGGGTATTCTCTTGCATGGCTCCCTTGTAATTAGGGGTTGGACTGTAGACAGGGCTTCAATAAAACAACTATAACGTGATTTTTTTTAAGTATTCATATCTTTATTAAATGACATTTCTGCTATATTTTTATAGTATTCATTTAGATATAGAAAAATTTTGGTATGATTCTTAGAATTATCTCAATTTTTCATTTTTATTATTTTATTGCCATACTGGGGGTATATTGTGACATTTGCAAAAGTTCTTACAATATATCATAGTTGAATTCACCCCCTCCATCATTTTCCTTTATCCCTCCTCCCCCATTTCTGGAATAGTTTCAACAGGTCTCATTTTACATCAGTACATAATATTTCCATCATATTCACCCTCCTATACCCTTTCCTTATATCCTCCCCCTCTTACTGGTACCAACCCCCAGACAGGTCCTGTTCTACCTTCCTGTTGTCTGTTTTTGACAAAAGCGTTTAAGAGTTTCAATACTTTTAGACTCTAGAAGTGAGGGTGGGGTGGGAGTGGGTACACATCATGCTTGAAGGCCACACACACAGAAGCCAGGGAGTCCAGACAGAGAGAGAAGAAATGGACTCATAAGCCAAGGCTTTTACAGAGCCCTGGGTATTATCCAAACAGGTTTCCCATGGAGAGTTTTAATTGGTAATTTTAAAACAAGCAGGCACAAATTCCTGGAGTTCATGTGATTGAGAGGTAATCACTAGGATCATGCAGGGTGTGAGGATCAAGTGGCCAGTAAAACAGATGGCATCTAACTGTCCTATAGGCAAGGGGTCACCAAGGAGAAGTTGTATGCCAGATATCTGGGCCACCAACATTAAGGAACTGGGAGGGAGGTATAGAACTGAAAATTATGTCAAGGGTTTTTCAGGACTGCTTGTGGTGTGAGAAAGTCTAATTCATATTTTAAAAGGGTAGTAAGGCAACATAACATTATAAATATTCACTATAAGGTATTAATAAGGAGTAATCATAATAGAAGGTCCCTGGTAAATAGTTATAATGATATTTCAGCAGAGTATTTTATAAAGATTTCTACTTACTATTCGTAACGTATGAGACATTTTGTCATATTAATATATCAAAGTAGTAGACTGAACATCTGTAGATACTGTATAAAAGCTAAAATTTGGGATAAGTATATAAAATAAATACTAAAAAGGAAAATAGTTTTCAGGTTGATACAAATTCTATATAGTACTAATATGTGAGAAGCATAGAATTGTGCTTCAGAGAAGAGTTGAATATATACAATAATATATACATTATTAATGTATGTATTGAGATAATAAAGGTTGAACCATTGTTATATATTCATGAAATGGGTCATTAACATTCTGTTTGTTTTATATTTAACTCTATAGGGTCTACTAATTTACAATTAAATTAAAAAATCTACTAGGACTAATGAACTAATAATTGCAAAGAACTGTAAGCAGGGATAAAAGGCACCAAGGGAAGATAAAGCACTCTTTGCAAAAATCAAAACATCTGAGACTTTAATTACATCCCTTGCTAAAACTGACTTGTAATCAGTGGCAGGGACTAGCTTATTAATGCTTCACTATGGGATTTCTAAGCAATAAGTTATATACCATTTCATCTATCAAATTCGAATTTACTTGAGAGCAGGAATTTCTGATGATTCTGTCTCAATTCATCAGCTTCCCTGTTTGCACTGAAATTCAAGGAATTCTAATTTGTCCTATAATGTAATAGACCTCTGGGTTGTCAGAATTTTCATTTTAGTTTTTAAGCTGAGCAGTGGGAAAGAGAATAGTTGTATCTCTAGGACAGCATATATTAATTGTATAAAAGGGCTTCATTGGGATATTTCCATATATATATATATATATATATATATATAATGTACTTTGATCAAATTCACTCCATTACTCTTTCTTACCCCTTTCCTTTTAAAACAATTTTTGACAGTTTTATTATTTTTATTTTCATATATCTCTTATACATAGTTCTGGAACTAGGACCAATGAAATGGGACTCAGACACTTGGTTTTCAGTGCTTTGGAGTCTTTAGCTTGCCCAATGAAGCACTGAAGGCAGTGTCAGTTTCTCTAAGTCTGGTATTGTTAACCAAATATTCTGGAAATGTAGGAAGAAATTGTATGTATATGTATGTGTACATACTTGTA